GACAGGGCTCTGACCTGCTGACCACACTGGACAACAGTGAGGACGTGAAGTACAAGGCGGATCTCTGACCTGCTGACCACACTGGGCCTGGGCACAGCAGCACTGGTGACAACGTGACATACAAGGCAGTATTCAGACCTGCTGACCACAATGGGTCTGGGAATGGGAGCATTGGTGACGTGACATACAGGACAGGGCTCCGACCTGCTGACCACACTGGGCCTGGGCACGGCAGCACTGGTTACAATGTGACATACAGGGCCTGGTGCTTACAGAGCTGCTGTTGTAACTGTATCCAGCCTTTTGCAACTGTTTTCCACAGCAGCTGTACACAGCACACCTTTCTCATCATCCAACTTTTAGCAGAAGCAAATGTCAGACAGTGGAAGAAAACGTGTTGGTGTGGACCATCGAATCAGAACCGACCCCATAACTGCCCCTGCAGTGGGTTTTCAGAGGCAGTAAATCCCATGGGAGATTACTCAACTTCAGCTTTCTTCTGAGGTTCGAACCACGTGCCCTCAGATTGACTGCACAGCTCCTTACACGGCCAGCAGAGCTCCCATTTCTATGGTGGTGTACCATCAAGTCGAACCAACCCATAGCTGACCCTCTGGTGGGTTTTCAGAAGCAGTTAATCACACAGGAGGAGACTGGCCATCCTCCTGTGGAGCAGCTGGTGGATTTGAACCACACACCTTTGAGATTGCAGTGCAACACCTTTTTAAAATTATTTTTATTGATATGTTAATGAAAGTTACAGAAAACATGGATTTCCACTCATTCATTGTTGCACATTTTCTTCCCCTGCACCCAGTTCATTTTTCTCTTTTAAAAAGATTATTTCACTGTTGCAGTTTCCTCCCCCCCCAGTCCACTTTGCTATGCACTTCTTAGTCTGGACTGTTGTCATGCAAATAATACCTAATTGTATATTCTTTTTAAGCGGTTCTTTGGCTCATTTGTTTCAATGTAGTTGTCACTGGGTCACCAGAGCTTCCCTGAGCTCCCTTTAGGAAACAAGTGATCCTCAGTCCTTCTGCTCTCTAATTTCCACACTCTTGGGTCCCCCTTTTCTGGGATGGAAATAAATAATAGATTTCCTTTAGTCAGTTGGCCAGATGGTTGTCCTCCAGATTTCTTGGCACAACCTGGTAAGAACGTCCAGGGCAAAATCTGATTGTTGAAATATGTCAGTTGGCATACCATCAATTCCTAGGGCCTTGTTTTTTTGCCAGCTTCTTCAGAGCAGCGTGAACTTCCTCTTTGCTTACCATAAGCTCTTGATCATATGTTTGTTCTGGTATAGCGACTCTGTGTACTCCTTCCAAGATGGAAGGATTTTGATGCTTCCTGGGTCTTTCAGCATTCTTGCAACTTGAGGCTTGAATTTGTTCTTCAGTTCATTCAGCTTAAGAAACGCTGAACGAGTAGGGACATTATAGCCAATACTAGATGCATC